TTCTCCATGTAAGTCGTTTAAGATCAGGATATATTTCTCTAAATGGGTCGATGATATTCTTATATTCTTTAATTTCCAAAATTTTCTCTCTAGATCTTGGATTGTTTATATTTATATAGTGATGGGTATCAAGGTTGAAATTTTGAACAAGATTAAAGTCCCCACAAATAATACAAAGCTGATTTCCAAAGAAATCTATTATTTCTGTTAATTTGTCATAGAAGCAGGGAGTATCAATATTTGGCCCATAAACGTTTATCAGAGTAAATCTCTTGTCTTCAATATTAAGATCCAATCCCACCAGATTGCCATCTCCATCTTTTTTAACTTTATGTATTTTATAGTCAAAATCACTTTTAAGCAAAATAGCAACTCGTCGTTTATTTGAAGCAAATGAATTAAAAACACAATGGCCTTTCCATTGGTTTTTTATCAAAACTTCATCTTGTTCTTCAAAGTGTGTATCCTGGAGACAATATATATTTAAATCTTTTGAATAAAAATAATCAAAAGAATCCCCCCGTTTTTCCCCCATGTGAAGTCCTTGACAATTATAGGACATTATTTTAATGTTTTTTCCTTCCATCATGATATTTGTTCTTCAACTGTGAAGTATGATATTTGTAAAAACAAAGGAAAATATAGTTCATGCGAGACATCAGGACTGATTTCATAATATTTTACTTCCTTAAAAAATATTTCATATATATGCCAAATACCAGAAATCCATGTTTTGTAATAAATATATACATAAAATAAACAAACAAAAAAGAAGATGAAACACATTTAAAACATATCATATGAAACTAAGATATTTCTTATCTTAATGCAGATTTACATATGTGTTCTAGGGGAGATAACTCAATTTGTTTTTATATCAAATTTAGACCAGACTAAGTTTTGTACTGATCTGCATGATAATATGTACTATATTTCAATATTTAAACACCATTTCTTACAAACTTATAATTAATGAATTAGGTTTACACATAAAATATTGAAAATAATTATTTAGACAAAAGAGAAGAGATCACACAAGAAGCACCTTACCACAAAATGTCCATTGTTTTGTGCTTCCTTATCTGATCTGGTCAAGTTTGTCTTATGTTTATATCACATCACTACAATATGGGAGGTGTCACTTTGCATCTTAAGATTTAAATAAGCATACATAATTTGTTTATTTACTTTAATTGAGATCACAAACTAAATATTAATTTTTTAAAGCTCAACTTAAGATATTAATTTCTATCCCTTTATGAGTATTGAAGGTACAAAATGTACATGTTTTATTTCAATCTAAATGTTTATTTTCAAGAAATGTAGAGTCTTAAAGGTATAAAAAAGCAACCCGCCCATCCTCCAATTGTGTATATATACACCTCTTAAGGTGATCTTATAAATTCACATACATTGTGCTATCTATGAAATAGACTAAAGCATGCATTTTCTCTAGAAATATAAACAGCTGAAAACAAAATGCAGAACGAAAGAAGCAAAAAAATCACATTATAACATATAATATGTATATGTAAGCTAAAGCATGCATGCATTTACTCAACATATAAAGAACTCATAACTTAAAAAGCAAAAATAAAGGCATGTAAAGCTATATATCAAATCAAGCTAGTCGAACAAAATAGAGAAAAAATAAAGAAGCAGAATAAAATGTCAGCCAAATGAAAAAGCAACGATTCTTTTTTTTTCTTTCTATACTTACTACATGTACTATCAATCTAGAAGCCTGTAAATAGAAATCTAACAATACAAAATTCTTGTTTCAATGTAATTGACATTTATTATGTTTTGTAAAATTTATTATTGAATTTATATCTTCTTATATTCATGGTTAATTTATATACTCAATAGTATTATATATGACATTTTGTATAATAAACCGGTTTTTATCTTAGAATAGTATATACAAGTATATGAAACTGCAGTTATTCCCATGGAGACCATTCTTCTGAACTATTTTTACGAGTCTCTAATGTCATGTGGGCCCCCTTTGCTCGAATTCTTGTTTGTAACTTGTCCCTTTTTCTTATTTTGTATGCATTGTGAGAAAGTAGAAATCTCTCCTCCTTCATTGAAATTGGCAGATCATCAAGTATGCGTATTTTTTTCCCTTTTAAGTTGTGCGCGTTGGACATGATAAGTTGCTTATCCCCAAAATGCAGGAAACGAACTATGATAGGCTTTGGACCTTTCCCATGTGTAGGAACTCTATGCGCATTTGCGATGGGTATAGAATTTGCTTTTCTGTTGTCAATATGCATGTCTTCACTGAAGAGTTTTCTTGTTATTGCATACACATTCTCATCTTTTTTACTGTCATCTTTTCCGTATATAAGTATGTTATACTTCCTATCATGTTTTTCTTGTAGAATGGCTTTCTCTTTAAGGTCATCAACTCTTATAACTCTATTTTTTGTTTTTCAAGTTTATCATTCTCTATGAATTGAATCTGTGCATCCATACCTTGAACACCTTTTTCGAGCTCTATGAATTCATTACGAAGAGTGTTAAGCTCTTTGTGTGAGGTTTCATACTTAACATTAAGCACATTTACATCAGCCTTTACCTCGTTTATCATACTTGTCAAGTTGCGTTCAACTTTATTCAGCTGTGTAGAAAAACCAATGACTTTCTTATCTATTCCCATAATAAGGGTCTTCAAATCATCAAATTGTTCTTGTGATGCCATACAGCATTATTGGATAAAACATAATACACCATGTAAAGGATTCATGGGTTTCATTATACCACGCATTGTAAGTCATTGCATTAAATAGTTTTCACTGATATTCCTTGCCATCAACCTTGGCTGGTGCCATACAGCACCGTTAACAAAAACATTTTTTCCAACTTGTTTTGAATAAAATAATGGTATTATTCTTTTACGTCAGAAAAAAAAAAACAAAACAAATTGAAGTATGTGTTCAATAGTACAGACATAGGTGTTGCAAATATCGAGACTCACTGTTGTTATATTCTCAAATTTATCAAGAATTAGAGTAAAACTGTTCGAGAACAAACGTGCTTCCTGTGTGAGAGGGAAATATAATTAAACATAAATATGGTAAGGCAGACAGGAAAAGTGACTAAATATTGTATAAAACAAATCTTTCAGTACATTTGACATATGATTATTAGTATTCAAACATCTTTAGCTCAACAAAAGTTGCTTTGTATATGTACTATGTTAAATATAAATAAGGAGATATGGTAAGATTGCTAATGATACAACTATCCACCAAAATATATTCGCAGTTATATGTACCGGTCGGCCTTTAACAATAAGAAAAAAAATACCGTATAATCAGCTATAAAAAAAAAGCCCCGACATGACAAATGTAAAACAATTTAAACGAGAAAACTAACGAACTAATTCATGACGATGTTTTGGGGCCTTCATATTGATCTGATGAGTAAACCTTTTTGAACTTGTCTTTATTATTTGACTGTTACAACACCGTCCTAGGTATAAGGGGGCCATACACATGTTTAATCCTGCCACATTCTGTATTCGACAAGGCGCGTAACCAGATGCTTAGACAGGATAAATGTCTCCTGCTATGTATGCATCACCCGCCATGCAAATTCACAATGAGTAAAAATGTCACAATCAGGAATACAATGAAATACAATACATGACAATACAAAAAAAAAAAGCATAATGTAAGACAAAACAATAAATGAAAACAAATAAAGCATACAGCAACCAATGAAAACCATTGATAAACCATTCTACATGCTCTGATTAGATTGCGATGATATTTCTCTGAGGAAAAAGAAAAAAAAACTAATCTGACAATTCACATCTTCCATTAGTCAGTCCCAATTTTAAGATTACAAAACAAATGTACTTTGAACTATTTGCATTTCAATTTATTGTATTCCGTTCTTGATCATATTAAAACCAACATACCAACTGTTCATTTTGAGCTCATAATAAGGTTTCTCATTTGACACAGTTGGCTTAAGATAATTTTAAATAAGTCAAAACAATTGTTCACAATATTTCTTTCCAAATATTATTGATTAAGAAAAAGAAACTGTTGTGCAAAAATGAATTGAGAATTATGATAGTTAAATAATGAATAAATTAGAATTAAGAAGCTGCATAGAACATAGTTTTGAATGAAATATTTTCCAAACATCACTTGAATGTACTTGACTGACAGGAACCTAAACATCATCGTAACTGATTATGGCCTTAATGAAACGACTTCATAAATATTTAACGGGAAGAAGAAGTCACTAAATAAAGGCAACAGTAGTATACCGCTGTTCAAAAGTCATAATTCGATTAAGCGAAAACAAATCCGGGTAACAAAATAAAACCGAGGTAAACACATCAACTGAATCGAAAACAGCGGAACAACAGAAACACTGAACTACAACAAAAGCAAACGCCAACATACATAGAAACAGACTGTTTGATAACAACAGCCATATTCCTGACTTGGTACAGGACATTTTAAGAAAAAAAATGATGGATTGAACCTGGTTTTATGGCTAGCCAAGCCTCCCGCTTATATGGCAATGTTAAAAATACCGATAACATGACAACATTATGTGACAGGAATACAGCAAAAGCAAACGATAGAACACTCAGCACAGAGAAAACATAAATAAATATTATAATAGTACATTACATGTAAACAGACTAAAGTCTGTCTACACTGGTATACATCTATTTTTTGTCCTTATGATCACGTTTATAATTGTGGTTATATCCAAAACATCAACAATGTAGCAGTGAAAAAATCCAAGGTTTTGAAGTTTAAAATGTTTACTCATTACAATCGATTATTTTTGGAATATAGGCATGTCTATTTTCGTTTATGTCTTTGCGTCATATGCAATTAATTAACATATTTTAAAACAGATTGATATCATCTTCAGGAGCTTTCTTTATGCATCGTAAATTTGTTTGTCTTTTTATGAAGATCAGAATGGAGATGTAGCAGTATTTTTATTTTTTTTATTTTCAGGCATCTGAATGACAATCAAATTACAGAGATTAATGTAAATGCATTCCAAGGCATGGCGGCTCTTAAACGCTTGTAAGTATATTTATTCCAACAAAAATAACACCGCCATCTGTTGGTGGTATGCTGTCGCATTATATTTATTCTCATCTTTTATCCATATTTCATATAAATTTTCATTTTGAGAAGGTATTTCTTTTGTTTATTGAAATTTTAGGACAAAAATTACAACTTTCATAGTAAGGAATACATTTCGTTACCAATATTACTTTCCCAAATTTATTGTTTAAGAAGGTCAAAAGAAACCGTTGTGCTAAATATCGATTGAGGATTATGTTATTTTAATAATAAATAATTAAGTAGCTGAATCGAACACACTTTTGACTGATATACTTTATAAACATCATTAGCATATATTTGAACCTCAGAGAGTCAAAGTGTAAACAAGCATATCACTGCCACTACGCAGGTAAAAGCCTCTTCCGAACATTTGAAAGTCCCGACTATGTACTGGTTACATAAATTACACACACAATAATTATTTAAAGTTTGTTTCATCTCTGCATCTAGTAAGTGTTCTACTACTAATCATTCAGTGCTTCTGACTACCTCGTTTACTACTATCAAAGAACTTGTTATTAACTTTTGTAATAAAGTTTATGAAAATAATGGTATTAATTATTTTTGGAGTGTTAAAAATTCTTAAGAGATTTTAGATAAAATACGTGCTTTTGATGGTCCTTTTAATTCTGTTGACAGTTATGATTTTTCTACTCTCTACATTACACTTCCACACAATCTCATCAAGTTTTCATATTTAATTAAATGGTCTTTTGAAAAATCTCATTGCAAATTTATTTGCTGTAACAAGTTTAACTCCTGGACAACATATATGTACGTTTCGGCGATAAGGTGTATCGACAGGTAGTAGGTATTCCTATGGACACTAATTACGCCCCTTTAGTAGCAGATTTATTGCTGTATTGCTATAATCACAGTTTATGGCCAAACTCAGTAAAGACTCGTCATTTTTTACATTTGGTTGACACATTCAACAATACCTCCCGTTATCTTGATTATATTACTTCGTTAAATAATCCAGAGTTCTCTAAATATACTACCGAAATTTACCCAAAGGGACTTACTTAAAATAAATCTAACATAAACAGCAGAAGTTGTCCTTTTCTAGATTTAGACATTTCAATTTCTAAAGGGAAACTCCATGCTAAAATTTACGACAAAAGAGACGATTTTTCAGTCCCTATTTCTAATTTTCCTTTTTCAGACGTCGATGTCCCTTTGGCTCCATCATATGGTGCTTATTTATTTTAACTCGTTCGTAATACCCGTGGGTGTAATGATTTCCTAGAATTTAACGAACGTTATCAATGTATCACTGGTAAATTATTAAGTCAGGGATTTAGTTACCACGAATTACTTAAAACATTTACTAAATTCTTTCATAGATACAAAGATTTGATTAGTAAATTTGGCTGTAAAAAAACTTATTAAAAACGGTATTTTACATCCTAAATTTTACGGTAATATTGTACAAAAAGCGTGGAAATCACTATGTGATCCCTGTAAACTCATCGATTTCTAAACAAACTTATTAGTAAATGTTTTCTTATTAATGTTGTAATAAGATCTTTGAATATTGTTTACATTGGCACTAACATCGATTTCGTCATCAACAAATTAAAACATAACTAAATTTGTATACTTTTCGAATGGTTTTTTGTCCCAGGTTAGAGTTGGGTTTTTGACACTACTCCTACTTCTTTTTTATCACTACCTGTAACGTCTATGTTATATAGGCACCTACGTTTTAATATTGTATTTATATTGTGTTATAGATCAAACTTATTCGTTCAGTGTATGTTTACCTGTTTTTGTTTAAATGTCTTTTTGATCGAGTTAAGCCATTTCAATTGATATTCTATAGTGCGTCTTTTTATGTTGTAACGTTATACTACTGTCTTAGGTTAGGGGGAAAGATGGCGCCTGTGAAAACGTTTAAACCCGCGGCGTTTTTATGCACCTGTCCTAAGTCAGGAGCCTGTTGTTCAGTGGTTGTAGTTTGTTGGTGTGGTTCATAGGTGTTTCTCGTTTCTCGTTTTTTATACAGATTAGACCGTTGGTTTTCCTGTTTGAATTGTTTTACACTTGTCATTTTGGGGCCCTTTATAGCTTGCTGTTCGGTGTGAGCCAAGGCTCCGTGATGAAGGCCGAACTTTGAACTATAAGATGTTAACTTTTTATACATTGTGACTTGGATGGAGAGTTGTTTCATTGGCACTCATACCACATCTTCATATTTATATTAAACATCATCGTCAATGGTTATAGTGGAGTGACATTAACCACATGATTTAATTCTTAATGCACTGTCACGGCTAAAATAAAAATCGAAAGCTGATCATCTTTTTGTTTTCCCGGTCGTAAAACATTCGTACGGTGCAATTTCTGTAAAATCATGATCAAAGGTCAAGGACGAACACTTTCATAGTTTTTTAAGACTTCAATATTATTGCAGATTCTGTCTTTTTTTAATATTAAAATAATGTAAGTAAATAAGGAAAACTTTAAGAAGAGAGATTAACAATTATTATGCAGACTTTGAGATATTTGGATCATCCTTAAGACCGTTGGTTTTCCCGTTTGAATGGTTTTACACTAGTAATTTTTGGGGCCTATTATAGCTTACTGTTCGGTGTGAGCCAAGGCTCCGTGTTGAAGACCGTACTGTGATCTATAATGGTTTACTTATATAAATTTTGACTTGGATGGAGAGTTGTCTCATTGGCACTCATACCACATCTTCTTATATCTATTATATATATTTTGACGACTACGAGCCCAATTTTACTTGGCTTTGCTGCTAAATGATATTTTCATCAGAGGTATTAAGAAATCCAGAGTGGCGTTTAAGTATAAGGTGACTTCCAGGAGGTTATATGTTCCTATTTGACTGCAATATTTGCATACTGAAAGGAATGCATGCACACGTAAGATATATATATAGACTTATTAAGAAGGGATATAGTTACGATACTGTTGTCAGGTCATTAAAGATTGCGTATTTTGGCGTTAATATTGATTCACTTATAGGGTCTTTGCATCGGCACTAAACACATTTTTTTTTTAAACCAGTTGTTGGCATGACACGGGTTATGTTCTTCTCATATATGTTATGATGGTATGATACTAAACCCCTAACGGGAAGGATTGTGCCTGATATTCATATGATGAAGACATAATCTTTCAATCAGTTTAATTGAAGTCTGGAGCTGGCATGTCAGTTAACTGCTAGTAGTCTGTTGTTATTTATGTATTATTGTCGTTTGTTTATTTTCTTTGGTTACATCTTCTGACATCAGACTCGGACTTCTCTTGAACTGAATTTTAATGTGCGTATTGTTATGCGTTTACTTTTCTACATTGGCTAGAGGTATAGGGGGAGGGTTGAGATCTCATAAACATGTTTAACCCCGCCGCATTTTTGCGCCTGTCCCAAGTCAGAAGCCTCTAGCCTTTGTTAGTCTTGTATTATTTTAATGTTAGTTTCTTGTGTACAATTTGGAGTTTAGTATGGCGTTCATTATCACTGAACTAGTATATATATTTGTTTAGGGGTCAGCTGAAGGACGCCTCCGGGTGCGGGAATTTCTCGCTGCATTGAAGACCTGTTGGTGACCTTCTGCTGTTGTCTGTTCTATGGTCGGGTTGTTGTCTCTTTGACACATTCCCCATTTCCATTCTCAATTTTATATATATATATATATACGAATAGTTACAACTTATTTCAATTGTAGGTAAAATATTAGACAGCTGTGAAAATTGAAAATTGCTGTTAAATTTATCACGACTTCGAATTATGTGTATATGTATGTGAACGTTACCAAATTGACCTATGTTCGGTTTGTTTGGGTTTTTTTTTTGTGTCCTCTTTATTTTATTTTGTAGCGGTTTTTTTTTTTTTTTTTTTTTTTTTTTGTCGATTGTATTACTTTTTTTTTTAAGTTAAACAAGATTGTAGTTTATTATTTAACAGTCCTTGGGTTGTCTAAACTTCCCACGACTTACACATTACACCATAATGCAATTTAATTTCAAAGAAAGCGTGCGACTACAAAATTATTTATTTTTAATAAAAACCGAATTTTGATCACAATATTGTAAATTAATGTATACAATTAAAAATCAATTCTTATCAATGTTTTGCAAAGTTTTAATATGTCGTACACCATTCATTCACACCATTCCCGATCGCACGTTACACCATTACACCATTCCCCTTACACCATACACCATAACACCATACACCTTCTACCATTGCACCATATGCCATTGCACCATTACACCATACACGTTATTTTGGGAAGTTTTCACCATCCAAGGGCTGTACATTTATTTGCATAAATTTGTTTGTTTTTTATCAAGATCAGAATGGGGATGCAGCATTGCATTGTAATTTTTTTATTTTTTAGGTACCTATATCGCAATCAAATAACTGATCTTAATGTAATGATATTCCAAGGGCTGGCGGCTCTTATATACTTGTAAGTATATTTACATATTATTGACTTATACATGTTATATGAACCTAAAAAGCATTGCCAATGGTTATAGTGGAGTGACATTAACCACATAGTTTGATTCTTAATGCACGACTTAAAACAATCATTTGAAAGCTGATTATTTCTGTTTGCCCGTTCGTACAACATTCGTACGGTGCATTTTCTGTGAAATCATGATCAAAGGTCAAGGACGAAAACTTTCATAGTTTTCAAGACTTCAATATTATTGCATATTCTGTCTTTTTATAATAAAATAATGTAAGTAAATAAGGAAAACTTTAAGAAGAGAGATTAACATTTATTATGCAGACTTTGAGATATTTGGAACATCCTTGTCATAGACAGCATCTTTTCCCAGAAATTCCAGTAAAAATGATAAAACTGAGTGAAATTCTTTGTGATTCAACCGTTAATCACCTGTAACCAAAAAAAATCCGTTTGTAATGCTAAAGAAGTTTTTGACAATATCTATTTACTACAATCACGCTTAGTGCTAATTGAACAGCCAATCATAACAACCCATGCAGTTGCCCAAAATATCGCCATCTGCGAAACATCGCTTTTTATCACTTCTTACTTAAAGTTTGATATTTCAGTATGTATTATATAACAGCTCGTCTAAAAGAAACACTCTTTCGACTTTTTTATATTATTTGGTTTGTAGTTTAATAGTCAACATTGAATAAGACTTTATTCATATGAAGTTACCCATAAAAAGGAATAAAAATATACACACAAATAAATACAAAATACATTAATGAAAAGTGAAATTTAAAATAATTTTCCTACCTTTGAAGTGTTTTTCTTAATAATTATAAAACTTGTGTTCTTGGATGATTTAACCGTCATTAATCTCATCGTGCGTTCAAGTCGTTGGCTTCGCGTGTTTGCGGTAGCTTCCTTTTAATGGGTAGTCGGAGCTAGTCGTATCGATCCAAGGCCTGGACAAATCAAAGACTTGAACATTGATATTTGATGATTCTTTGCCTAGTCTGGGGCATTTAGGAGTAATAGCAAAGACTGGTCGGCTCGGGGTCAGACAAAAGTTTCCGCGTAGAGTGACATGTTTTTTTCTGCTGACAGTTACCATTTGACCTAGCACGTTTAAAAATACGACTCTGCACAAAGCAGGTGCTATATTCATATCACATTATCATGTTCTCGTCCTGAATATGCATTTAATTTCCCATTGGATGTCAAACTGCCAGCCTTCGGCCCATTCATCGAACGTCCCTTAATAGGTTAATAAAGAAAAATCAATATGAAAATAAAAGTTATTTTCATTAATTCTAGTTATAATTATACTTCCTCAGAAGGCTTAATCTGACAAAACATAGCACTTTTGATGTTGCTGATTGCTAACAAAATTTTTTAACTGCATGTTACAAATACATACGGTTACTCAAACTTTTGATGAAAGATAGATATATATTTTGACGACTACGAGCCCAAATTTTTAATTCGAATTAGTTGTACATGTATGTGAACGTAACCAAATTGACCTATTTCCGTAGATTTTCTTTGCATGTCCTCTTTATTTGATTTTGCAGCGATTTTATGTCGATTGTATTACTTTATTTTGATTTTAAAGAAGATTGGTGTTTATTATTTCAGCTTTATTTTTCAACTTAAAAAAGTCGGGAAGGAAAATCGCAAGGCAGAACTAGTTGGTTTAGAAATCCAACTGTTTTATTTGGGTCCTAAAATCAGAGTTAAAAGAATTCCCCTTAAACTTTATTCACAGCATGAGTAAAATTGCTGTGTTCTCCTTTCTGTAATAAGTGTCTTAAAAGTAAAAAAGAATTTCAGTGGAACAATCTCCAATCACAAATCAAAGAGACTAAGATATCACCATGACCAATACAAAAAAAAAAAAACAAAAAAAAAAAAACGGCTGTCCACAAAACTCTACCTCGCAATGTAAATAGAACAATAGCGTTTCAATATTCGAATGAATACTGTTTTCCCTATAAGCTATTAAAACACAAATGCCGGTAAATGGTACGTAAGTTATTTATATAAAACATGACTTCAAATTAATCTAGCGAAAGAGAAATACCCTTCATGCATAGCTTCGATTCCTTGACCGAGTTTAACTTTACTTTTGATCCTTTTTGCTTTTGTCAGCTCTTACTTTAACGTTTGTATTACGTTTTAGACTCGAACATCATTGAAGAGACATCAATTGTCGAAATGCGCATCTTGTGCAATACAATTGGTTGTGTGAATGTTATTCCTGAGCATATGGAATCTTTCCCGGGTTAGGAACCTATTCATTTTTTCAATATATTACTAGTAATTTGAATTCATATGTGACAAGATTACAATCCTGATCACGTTTAAATTTTCTTAAACAGAAAAGCAGCATCGTTTCTAGTTCTTTTATATCATGCAACAGCTTAACGCAGATCACGGATTTCAATTTTGCCAACGATTTCGGAGCAAGGCCATGTTGGTATTTCAACATGACTTCAAAATGTAATTAAGTTCGACTTGGAAAAGACCTATTTGTTACTGTATTCAGATCATATTCGAGTTTTACATACGCCTTCTTAAGTTATGGAAAATTATTGTCTTCCTGATATTGACAATTATCGATCTGCTATTTTAACACAGAAAAGCAAAAGGATCAATTATCACAGAGGGCGGTATTTTGGGCAACTTTTAAAACCTTCAATACAAGGATGTTTTAGGAACATTAATTGCTATTGGCTAGGAATTAGCTTTCAGCAACTATGAGTAAGCTATTTTGGGGGCTTTGTATCGATCATAAAAGTCAACATTTTTCACTAATGTTTATAGTTTGGCTGTAACACCACTGCCCTAGGTTAGGGAAAGGTTGGAGCGGCCACATTCTGTATGCATTGTTTTTGTACATAATTTGACTATAGGTTTTCCTGATTAGCTTTTCTTTTCATTTTGTTATGTCGAGTCTTTCATAGCTTGCTATGTGATATGGATTTTGCTCATTGTTCGAGACCGTACGGTAACCAACAGTTGCTACCATCTACGTCATTTAGTTTCTGGTGGAAAGTTCTTTTATTAACAACCTTACCTAATGTCCTTCTTGATACTGAGTATTTGTTTTAATCATAAGTCAGAAGATATTCAATAGGTTACACAGGTTTTCAACCAGATATATCATAAATTCAGCTGCTTACATGCGTGCGTAATGAGTAACAAAGTATTATAAATAATGGTTTGAAGAACAGTATTTGAAATCTTCGGCGTTACTATTTTAGCGATCAGCTAGCAATTAGCAATCTGTCATCGATCAGTCACGTCATTAATCAGTCAGACTTATAAGAATACAAATCGTTTTGATTAATCGGACGGATCGGATGGATTGATCATTCTGACTAACTGAATTTTCCAAAAAAGTTATTGTCATTCTTTAAAAGTGTTTCTATAGTCGGATCATCAATATCTTTTGTGAGAGGATAACTGATGTTGTCAAAAACTGTTTAATGTATAAATTACATGACATTTTATTGACTGATTCGTAACAAAGATACAGATGGTAGCGTAAGTGGAGCAGGATTTGTCTACCCTTCAAACTCACCTGAGTTGAATAGTTGGAAAAATATGAAAGGAAAATAAGATTGTTCTTAACAATGTGAATGTTTTTTTTTATTCAAATATCATACCTTCTGAAACATAACTTGATTGAACATTCTCATGAAGATATTGCCTGTTCGTAATGTGTAAAATAAGATTTAATAGGTAAATTGATCTTTTACATTTAAATAAATCGATATACAAAAACTTTCTATACAAATATAACTCTTTGCATGTAAATTTAGCACGCGGTTTCATTTTCAAAATCAAAATGCCGTTATAAATGCTAACAAAAATACTCTACTGTAGCAATTTCAAAGCAGTTACAAAAGTTTTCAAATATACGTACATATACACATGATATTTGTCGCAGGTTGAGTACACTGAATGTCGACTACTATTGGTTGCATTTTGTGAATACAGCTGTTTCACAAACCACGCCTCTTTTGGGGAAAAATTTAATATTCATAGATGTTTTGTTTTGTTTACCTACTGGTTTCCAGATATGATCTCTATTCTTCATCTCGTAGAAACACAACTGAGGAATGTTACCAGTATAAATACATATGGATAGCGGCAAAATTGAATTTTGAAGAAGACCCAATATGAAGGGAGGGGTAGTACAGAATCACAGTATACGTTTATACTCTTAGAAGTTCGAGTCATATCAATGTTGAAAATATGCCTCGCAGCCCTATGATTTGACCTTTGAAAAAAATAGTAGTGCATATAAACTTTCCATTCTGGGATATATTTGTTTACGAAACTTTTTAGTAAAAATGACACAGTTAAAGCCGTACAATTTGTTCCTATGGGAAATTGCATTGGCTATATTTACAGATGTGCAACCTATAATATTGTACCAAACGTTCGTGATGCGGATAGTTTTAAAATACAAGTTATTTATCTGTTTTTTTGCTTTTTGTAGCATCATTTAAGCACTAAACTATACTTACATGTATCCTCTACAGTCTAAAATTTACAATTTTAATTACGGACATGCTGCTTTCTAATTGGCAAACAAAAATTGCAAAAGTGGTATATTTATACTGAGTGTCATACCTTCGATTTTTCTATCAGTGCCTGAGCAGAAAGTTGATGAACTAGGAGTATGTCAAAGAATGTCTCGTCCTTTTTCGAAAAAATTTCGTCGAAAGATACCAAGACCTTGTTGATAAATATTCCGTAGCAACTTCACAAATAATACACGATGGTCTTAAAGTATAGATTCTGGGAACTGACGTTGTTTATCATATCAATAACATGTTATAGTATTATTTTATTTGTCTTTTTGAATACTACTTTTACTATTTAGTGTATTTTTTTTTATATGCATTTCACGTGGCTCGGTACTTGTACATCCCGTCATTGGGTTATTTTGCCATGGTAAAATTTTGTCTTTCATTTTTGCTGATGTGCTTTGTCTATGTGCCCTTTTTTGTTTCTTTGTTACATATTTGTTTGTTTTTATAGTGATTAAGATTATAACACAATGTTGACTGTTGTACAATTTTTGACATTTTTATCTATAATGTCTGTTTGTTTTGCACACACATCGTAGTCAATATTATGGAATTTAATGCGACTGTCATACAAACAAGAGCTTTAGCTAGCTATAAAACCAGATTTAATCCACCATTATCTACATAAAAAAATGACTGCACCAGTTGTTATCCATTCGTTTTTTGTGTTTGAGCTTTTGATTTTGACATTTGATAAGGGACATTCCGTTTTGAATTTTCCTCAGAGTTCGGTTCTTTTGTGATTTTACTTTTGGCTATTTATTTAATTGATCACGATATTTTGTAATATTTTAATTCAATTTTCGAGTGATTTAACATAGATGTGAACCGCATGAATTCTATCATTTAACAAGAATCAATAATAAAATGGCTAAACATACACTTCTCCCTACATAATTTAATCTTTAAATGTTTTAAAGTACACATTGTTAAGGCGCTCTTGTATTATATTTATTGATTAAGAGTAAATACTGTGAAAGCAGTTGTACATTCAATTTGTTGAATTATTTGAAGTAGAACAGTATGTTAAACCGAAGTGTTACTTTCGGTTACTATGTTATCTTCGTGTAAAAGCAATCTCTTTGCAATAATGGGTATGTAGATTGATTGATTGATTGATTTATAAAATTATTCACAAACTATGATGCATGGATAATGTTAACGCTCCATAAACGCTGTGAAAAGAATTAATTCAAAGTTTAAATGTATTGTCTTTTTTAAAGGGATTTGTCTCAGAATCCACTGAACTGCAGCAACTGTGAAATGTCACAACTAAAGTTATTTCTTCAAAATCAGACTTATGGGAATGCAGGTGCAACGTGTAATGGGACAAAAATAACGGTAGTTAACTTTGATTTCACCGATTGCACAGGTACGATACTAAAAATAAATAATAATTTGAAAAAGAAACTGTTCAAAAAGTAAAACAACCAAAATACCGAACTCAACCTGTATATACTATGTTGTATGTTTGTTTTAGTTTGTATATTTCACATGTGTGGCACTAATTGATTAATAAAGTGATGACGAATATCTTAATGGCAGCGAGGTAATAGACACATGATACAGAACAGTTATAATTAGAATAGTTAATTTCAAAATATGGGTTTATCTTAAAAATCTTTTTCAGAGTACAACCGGAAAGTATCTAGTTACAAAGTTAAAAACAACACAAAAATATGTTATGATTATTAGTATTTTACTATTATTATTATAATTATTATTATTATTATAGTAACTTATAATATTATTATTATTAGTAGTAGTAGTAGTAGTACCATTATTATTATTATTATAATTAGTAGTAGTAGTAGTAGTAGTACCATTATTATTATTATTATTATTATTAGTAGTAGTAGTATTATTATCATTATTATTTTTATTAGTATTATTATCATTATTATTATTATTATTAATATTATTGTTATTATTATTATTCTCTTTTTTTTCATCATCATACAAAGTTTAAAACTCATCTAACTAAAAATTGATGCAAACACATTACTCAATGGAAATAAGTGTACCAATAACAAAAATAGATAAGGTACAAAGGGTGGATTTGAGTTAAGGAAAACGAATGAATGAAAAACAAGTATGCCTTGGGCTGTTTTTTGCTCTTTGGTCTGGTTATTGTCTCTTTGACACATTCCCCATTTAACATTCTTAATTTTATGATAAACAGCAGCAAACGACAACCACTGAATTACCGGCTCCTGACTTGGGACAGGCACATACAGAATGTGGTGGGTTTAAACATGTATGCCGGTACCAAACCATTTGTCTAACCTAGGATGGTATTTTCTACATGATGACTTTATTCTTAGTTGAAACAAATATCGCATCAATTGCGTTCTAGATTTGAAGCGCCACATTTGATTAGTCTAGTATCACTCGTTATTGAGGCACCTTAGACCCGTAAACATATTTTTCAGCTTGTCCTATTTTATCAAACCTCTTTTTTTTTTAATAAGATACTATGCTTCATCGTTACTCATTGTGTCTGAATTTCTCTAAAAACGGCGATTTTGACTAAGATCGGTGATAAATTCGTTATCTACGTTTTATATTCTTGTTAGCCTCGTGGTGTAATGAAGTACTCAGGGTATGTAAATATCCATATCTAGGGACTTAAACGGAGATAACTAATGAGAGCCGTCTATCGTTCACCCTGCACAATATACCTGTAACCTAAGTTTGGTAAAATCATACATTAACTTATCAACTGATAATTTTCCGAGTAAATGTATCATTTGAATCGTGCTGGCATCGATGAATCGATTATTGATTAATGGTTGAAATAACACACAAGCATGCATTATCAGTCAACTGACAGAGAATCCGGTCAAATGATAGAGCAATACAAACGGATGATCGGTTACTGTTCTTTATCTAAAAACATTTAGAAAAGTTTTTTCTTGTTGTATTGCAACTCGAACCTTCAGATGCTTTGGTAGAATCACACATAAATCACAAATTTCGTGGATTTGGTGCACATTTTAGTTTTTGACACACTGCTTAGTTAATAAAAAAGCGTCATCTGATTTTTGATGTAATTATGTTCACATAATTTGCCATAAAATGTCTAAAATTACAGCTTTGAATATGATTTAAAACATCAAACCATACTTTCAGAGTTATTAGTTCTGACTGTTGCTTATTTCATTGTCCGTTTTCTGTCTCATTGTTTATGTACAAAACTATGTTTATTATCATATCTATTGCGTGTGAATCAAAATCATTAGTCTTAATTATTGATACATACAAGATACATTTCCAGCAACAGAAACAAAAACTTTGAATACTACCAACAGAAACCTTGGTTCCACATCTGGTGAGTACAGTGCTATAATAAGAAATGTACCTTAAAGGTTATTTTATAATTATATGTATTTAATAATTTTTCTTATATATTTAAATTCATCCTTAAAACGGGAACACACTTATCTTTTTTCAATTCAGTACATTTTGTCTGACCTATCAAGACATAACGGAAGCAAGCTTGTGCGTAGTGTTTTGGCTACAGCAGCTTAAATTTGTGATTATGTCAGTTGAAGATGAAACAAAGTGACAAATGGTATATCAGTGTTAATCGAAATGCAGTTTTATTAGCATATTTTATTCTGGTTGGACGGCGATTATTTGGATTCAGTCCTTAAAAATGGTCCATCGAATTTCAACAATGAGAAAAACATGAAACAACGACAACCAATGTACTACAATGACTTGGGACATGCACATAAAAAATGTGGCGTGGTTTCGAAATGGCCGCCAAAAAGTGAAAAAGAACACTGGGCTTTGCTGATATTTATTTTTTCCATCGAACTGCACTTTGCAGTTCATACAATATTCCAGGGGTTGCGTTTCCATGATACATGGAAGTTGCTTGTAGGACAATTTAATGAAAGATCCCATAAATGGAAACATTCGAAAGTTTTCAGGGAGCCATCAGAATTTGTTTGACCGTTAAGCACCATCTGAGTCACAAATGATAATGGATACGTTCCACTTCTCCATGCCACCTAATCACGTACTTGCAATGAGTAACATCACGCGTGCATCCAGTTGACCAAAAACTACACACCCTTCCGGAACACCTGCGATAACCCCTAAATTTGACGAAAAGGTACTTGTATTGTTTATGCTTTCAATGTTGTTTTCCATTCGTTTGATGTGTTTGAGCTTTTGATTTTGCCAATTGTTAAGGGACTTTCCTTTTTGCATTTTCTTTTGAGTTGGGTATTTTTGTTGTATTACTTTTTACCTGCTCTTTTTTTCAGTGTCCGTTGTCAACCATTGAAAGTCCTGTTTATATATCGTGCATGGAAAACCTGATTTCATTTCAAACGTTCACATTCGGTCAAGCTTAAAAAATAATTGCAATGTATCAATGGTTTTTACATGTTTTAAATTTTGTGATTTAAGGGTTAGACAATAGACATTTATAAATTCAACATTATATGATATATGCCCAATTACTGGATATTACTCATCAATCTATATAAACAAGTAGGGTTGGTGTTGCCCAATTTTTTATTTTTGTGTAGTGATTTCTTGACTGCTGTTGGTCCATTTTGCCTTTTCTTATTCATGTTCTTATCTGGTTTTGTTTTACTAATGATTTCTGAGTGCCTAGGTATCTTCTCTATCTTTTTATTATCTAAACAACAACATATTTTCACAGCAGTTTTCAAAATGTTTCTCAAGGACAGCCTATCCCACAAAATTTTAAACAGGACCGTGCATAACATTATTGTCCTCGCGCATTTTCTTTTACTGTGACATCCGTGTTATCTGGCAAGCACATTTTGTTAGCTCATTACAAAATGCTGAAACCTTTTTGATAAATGTCCAATAGGATATATGACATCCGCATTCACTCGAAGTAACACTCTGGGTAAAAGGCCGAAACATTCCCCCGCCTAAAGCTTTCACATGCGTTAAGCATGTTGTGTTTTTGCTTTTAAACCGTTCCTGGTGTAGAACATAGTTTGGAGTACCAGATCACGTTATATTATTTCAAAGCTGGATTGAACTTTTCAATTACTATGGCCATTTCTAGACAAAACATTAGTAAATGCTGTAGTTCTGCGATATTGGTGGTAAATCAGATTGCCCCACCTTCTCCTTTTACAAGTGTGTTATTCTACTCATGGGCTTGATCTATATTTATCATTTTCAAATAACGTTTGCAACACTTAAACTGTATAGTTAAATGGCATAATATCGCACACGGGTACTTGGAGCCATAGTGTAAATGGAAAAATACAAAGAACTAATGAATAAGTAGTATAATGGAATCTTTATATACTTAGAAGGAACATTCTCTCATTTGTCTTTGCTCTACATGCGTGAAATGCTGTCCGGACATATTGAATGTTTTCATTATCATCTGTGTTATCATTTTGTCTTATTTATACCATGTAAGGATGCACACTTGACTAATTAAACCAGGTTGGCATAGAAATATTTCTGGTTAGACAATATTGACAGAGTGCATGTCCATACAAGGGTTATAATTGGATGTAAGTATGAAACGCATGGTTATATTTGGTTAGTATTAAGGATATATCTATTCTATAGTAAAATATATACTAAGTCATAGCAAAAGTACGAACAGTTGTGCTGGCGCATAATATATTGGTTAAAGTTCCACGGATTATAAGGGAAATGCATATATTCGAAAGCAAAAGATTATGACGAATTTGCCAATTGAGACTAAGACAATGCTGAACTATTGAATTTGTCGTACTAAATAGCGATTATTTAGATGTAGTTGAACTCTTGTTGTTGACAATCTAGTCCACGGCTGCTGTTGTAAAGCCACCAGGTTTCGCGGAGGATCCACATATTTAATGTTAAATGTTTAAACAGAAGAAGCAAGCACCTGCCTTTTTAATGGTCTGGCAAGCCTGAGATTATTGTTTTTTTAAGATCATTACTATTTCCTCTTTCAGTTGATCACAGAGAAAACTGTTCGAGTCGAGCAGAATACATTCTAGTTAAGTCTAGGTTAAATATTGGAATAACATGTTCTCCCTCGTTGTAGACTACTGTTCTGCTAGAATGGTACCGTAGTTACAATTTTCTGTACTTTCTTCACAAATCTTTTGATGTTTAATAAATGTGACATACACTTGGTACTATAGTGCGCATAGTTTTACTGACGGTAAAGCCGCAATATTGAATATTGGGTCAATAGCTTATATTGTTCGAAGCACTCAGCACTACTTACATGAAAAATTTGAACTAAAGCAAGGGATATTTTTTTTTTATATTGATATTCTGTGGCGGCCATCTTGGAAAAGGCCGCCATATTGATTTTTTTAAAGGCGGATTTATAGCTAATATTTTTTGAAACACCCAGCACTACTACCATGCCAAATTTGACCATAAATTTGACCTTATATAAGTGACATATTTTGATTTTGACTTTTTTGGCGGCCATTTTGGAAAAAGTCGCTATATTGAAAGGTGGGTCCATAGCTAATATTGTTTGAAACACCAAGAGCTACTACCATGCCAATTTTGGTGCTTTTGTCATCAAACCCACATTTTTGTCAACGATGCACTTTCAATTTATAAACAATTCTCAAGGTTAAGTTTCGGTATTTTGTACAAAGTTACATTACAATCATTACATACATGTATCAGTTTGATGACTATCTTGAGGGTCTGTCCCCTAGGTCGGCATAAAACGGTGACTTTGAATTAATTCGCAATTTTTGATGTTAAGTTTTCTGCTTTAGTGAGATGGATAGGAACTACGTACAATAAAACATATTTTCGATAAAGTTACATAACTTTCTGTGCATCTCAGTTTGCCAACCATTTTCATGCCTTGCCCACTTGATGATGTTCCAGCGATTTGATAAACAATGATCCTGTCCATCAGCATGTCATTCAGATTAAGCGGTTTTGTTTTTGATTGGCCAAAGTTAAAGGTCTCAAAATAAATAATTATTTTGAAATATCATCTTTTCATCTTTTTCATCAAGGCCTGAATTAATTAAAAAGGAACTTTGAAAATATGGAGATACAAGTATTGTCATTGAAGATTTGCATTCACAAATAAAATATATCATTGTTGCAAATTTAGATATTAATATTATAGTTAACTTTTGCAATGCCACGGCTGAAACGAACTTTTTATGCGGTACTGGGTTTACTCACTGTTAAGGTCGAGCGATTACCGGTTTATAATGATCACAATTTTTATCATTTGCCTTTACTGGATAGTTATTTATCCCAGATGCTTGTTAACACCAAACGACAAAATTTGCCGGATTTGGGGCAATATGCGCAATTGTTTCTCCATAGGCGGCAATGGTAACGTTTTCTTCTGTAGCTCATTCCATATCGTAAACTTGGATATGTATGATGGCTCGTTTCAAAGCTGAGACATTTTCACATATTTGACCATAAATCTGACCTTATATAAGTGACATATTTTGATTTTGACTTTTTTGGCGGCCATTTTGGAAAAAGTCGCTATATTGAAAGGTGGGTCCATAGCTAATATTGTTTGAAACACCAAGAGCTACTACCATGCCAATTTTGGTGCTTTTGTCATCAAACCCACATTTTTGTCAACGATGCACCTTCAATTTATAAACAATTCTCAAGGTTAAGTTTTGGTATTTTCTACAAAGTTACATTACAATCATTACATACATGTATCAGTTTGATGACTATCTTGAGGGTTTGTCCCCTAGGTCGGCATAAAACGGTGTCTTTGAATTAATTCGAAATTTTTGATGTTAAGTTTTCTGCTTTAGTGAGATGAATAGGAACTACGTACAAAAAAAAAATTTTTCGATAAAGTTACATAACTTTCTGTGCATCTCAGTTTGCCAACCATTTTCATGCCTTGCCCACTTGATGATGTTCCAGCGATTTGATAAACAATGATCCTGTCCATCAGCATGTCATTCAGATTAAGCGGTTTTGTTTTTGTTTGGCCAAAGTTAAAGGTCTCAAAATAAATAATTATTTTGAAATATCATCTTTTCATCTTTTTCATCAAGGCCTGAATTAATTAAAAAGGAACTTTGAAAATATGGAGATACAAGTATTGTCATTGAAGATTTGCATTCACAAACAAAATATATCATTGTTGCAAATTTAGATATTAATATTATAGTTAACTTTTGCAATGCCACGGCTGAAACGAACTTTTTATGCGGTACTGGGTTTACTCACTGTTAAGGTCGAACGATAACCGGTTTGTAATGATCACAATTTTTATCATTTGCCTTTACTGGATAGTTATTTATCCCAGATGCTTGTTAAAACCAAACGACAAATTGGCAGTATTTGGGGCAATACGCGCAATTGTTTCTCCATAGGCGGTAATGGTAACGTTTTCTTCTGTAGCTCATTCCATATCGTAAACTTGGATATGTATGATGGCTCGTTTCGAAGCTGAGACATTTTCACATATGTAGATAAATGTTCGGCGTACGAAGTGTGATTCATTTTTCCGTAAATTAGCATACCTCGAAAATCTTTTCGTGATGCGGCTCTTCATGGTAAAAAGTTCCTTTTTTCACACAATAATTTCTTTGAAAATTTAATACTTTGAATACATATAATAACTCCATAGTTTTTACACATTTATTCTATGGTCCTATACTTTCCAGATCAACACAAATGGTTAAGCTTAGTCACTTGTTAAAAATAGAAACATGTCCAATATCACTACACAGAGATTTTTTGTTTACACACAACTTTTGTGTTCTTCAATTGGAGGCGCATTAGGGATATTGACCCATTTGGCCACAGCCTTTAATATTATTTAAATTTATACATATTGTATATAAGTAATCTCAATATAAATGTATGTATGTGCCGCAGATCGCTGGCAATTTAACTGTCACTTGTATATCTGAAAATATGAGGTTACCGGCATATGGCTGATTATGGCAACCGTACTATCAAATATATATATAAATGAATACCACAGATAGTGGTGACTGAATATAAGATTAGAACAATTTGGATCACCGTGGGAACACAGGTGAGGAATCAAAACCCTTACATTGTTCATCTGTAGTGAATGATACTATTTATAAAACGAAATGTTTTTTGATGCAGCGAATTATGCCAGATTGACATTGAAACCAGACCTTGGTTTCACTGTCAACCGCCATGAAATGGGGGTTCGCATCCAAGCTGTGTGCTAAATATATTACCCAATAATCAAAACATTTCAAACTTAAATTATAAAGTGACGTCAATAACTGAAAAAATAAAAATCATTTTATGTACCTTAAACTATACAAGCTAGATAATTAATCATACATATATTTTTATATCAATCTTCTGTTTCAGTAGTTGAAAATATATACTTACCTTCTGCTTTATGCATGAGCAACAAAACCACCATGGGTCGATATAAAAAAAATTCCAAGGGAACATAAGAATGTGTTCCAGGAATTTATTTGCATAGCAGCATTTTAAACCAATTTTATATGAAGCTCCTATAGCTTGCCGCACTTGTCGAAACTTCCATTTAATGTCATTTCCTTCTGTAAATAGCAAACGAGAAGAAATATCAATATACTCCCGAAAGAAAGGGAAATAAGGTTATTGAAAGAATAAATTTAGTATATGCCAGAAGTGCTTGGAATCCATACCAGGAAAATCTCATAAATAAAAAATTGAAATAGTGCAAAAAAGATCAGCGAGTTTCATTCAACATTAAATACAGTAGACATTATATATGTCACTACCATACTTTAGGAATTAGAATTACCGTCATTAGAAACCAGACAAAAACTAAAAAAGCTCTGGTGTTTCATAAGGCACTTTAATTATAACATCATAAAATAGCCATAAATATGCCAGATAATATAAAACCATGGTAAATTCAGAAATATCTGAACACCAACCAACACTCACAAATATAGATTCTTTTCTCGTATCATCAAAGACTTGAACAAAAAAAATTAAATAAAGATGATGCAGAGGCATTTAAGAATAGCCTCACATCTTATTTTATAGAGTTGTCACGCAAGAACATAATAATTATAATTTGCACATGTAAATCACCATATTGAATGTCTGATTTAGTACCTGCGTGATGGATACTAAGACTCTGCATTTCAACGACCAAGTAATAGACAAAAATCAAATGTATCTATCAAATGTTGTCAAATTGAACAGTTAGTCGGATCAACTTTCGGTCGACTAACCGGTTAAAACGCCAATAAATTTCACACAGGAACAATTCGAAGGATATTGGGGATTGTGGTGGTGGTGGTGGTGGTGGTGGTGGGGGGGGGGGGGGGTGGGGCATCGGCGCAATACATCTGATGAGTAAGTGTTCAACTATAGTAAGGGTGCCCAATATATAAATAAAACTCAATAGACAAATAAATTAACTTGGTAATAATCTTCGGAAATTTTTTTGTTTTTGCTTCTTTTTTCCATGTGGTCGCCATGTGCTTTTGTATTTCAGTCAGCACACATTCAAAAATAATTCATAATTAACGTCACTTTATGACGAAACACTTTACATGCGTTAGTAAAACAAACAAATATACTTCAAAGGTTTAAATATTTATCAATACTCCCTGACAATATTAAAGATTATCAATTTCTTTTGGTTTTATATTGGAGTTCAATTGTCTCCTGCCTTCCTCCTTGGATCCAAATTGAAAAAGGCTCGTTACGTCAGATTTAAAGGTTCAGTAACCACCAATGAGATTATGGTATAAATGTATACGTAAACTCACTAATAACCAAACAAAACATATAGGGTACAGCGCACCGTGATAACTGAATTTAAGTACAAGACTTAAATTCTATTACTTCAAAAAGTTTTTAAGATGATGTCGATATAATCACGGATAGCTGTTACAGAACAACTGCCGTTGACCATATTACACAAACAATTTATCTGTATTTACTACTAAGTATATTATAAATGCTATAATCATACTGTAAAAAAATATAAGTTATTTACCTTAAGCATACTGATAAACAATGTTTTCAAAGGTTTGATTTGAGGCAATTACCTTACATCTGTACGTATGTTTTGTAAATAAACTTTGAAATATTTATTTTTGTTTAATTAATATCCAAAATTGCATTGAACAATGCCGCTCACAAGTTATTGTCTTTACTTAAGGCAACAAAAACAGTTGTTCAGCCTAGCAGTTTTTCCCTTAGCATATGCTTTTATATGAATTTTAACATGTTTTATTTCAAAAAGTTTTTAAGTTGCTATTGAAAGTGTATAATATGGTGTCTAAAATAGTTATTTTGTACGAATTTTATTTTATAGAGATTTTTGTAGAGGATATCAGATTTTTAAATTGCTTACATCCACTTCATTTGAAATTTGGCGGATAGTTGTCTCATTGGCAATCATACCACATCTCCTTTTTTTATATGGGATGACAACTCTGAAGTCAAAATATATTTAAGGATTAACAAAACTACTTCCATTTTTCAGTTATGCGTTTTCTGCCTTCCTTTCACATGTTCTATACCTCCTTTACAAGTAACCAAATCTATTGATTTACTATACAAACACCATAAAACAATAATCTTATCACTAATATGTCAACATTTTATTTGTTGAATATTTAACCATTAAAAGATGATTAAATCTTTTATATATATATGGAAACAAAATATATGTGTTCTGAAAACAGTTCAATTTGCATTTCTTCTTACACAAACGTGTACAAAATTAAACTGACTGTCATATAAGACAAACAACGAGTTCATGTATTTTATAGTTATGAAACATGAGGTTAAAAAAGGTTCGATTTGCCAGTTTTTGCCTTTTCACAAAATAGAAGTAATACATAGAATTTGTCAATATTAGAATAGCATATTCTTCTAAAATTGGTGAATCATTACATATCATGCGTTTTCAGTCTTTGAAAAAAGTTATTCTTTCGAAGTAAACTATTGATATATATATATTACACACGTCTATGAACAAGGTAAAAAAAGCGTGTGTGTTCAATTCCAATGTATTCTCAACGATAGTAATGAGTTATTTCTGTCATAAAATAACAAATCTACCTATTTGAACATTAGAATATAAGTAGTAAATTTTGGTTCAAATTTTGTACGCCCGACGCGAGTTTCGTCTTCAAAAGACGCATCAGTGTTGCTCAAATCAAAAAAGTAAAAAGCAAACGAAAAGTACGAAATTGAAGAGCATTGTTGACCCAATTTTATATTACATTTATTAGTTGTGTCGGTTTTTTTCAGAGGACAACAAAACAGCTGTTATAGCCGGGACAGTTACTGGCGCTGTTGTAGTTGTAGTGATTTGTGTAATCACATTCTTAGTAATACGAAAGGTTTGTAGTGCATCGGACGGAAAAACAGTCGTACAGCCATCAATATAGTAGATATAGAGGTAGTGATGGCAACAATAAAATCATTATGCGCAATAATAAGGACACCCAGGAGAAGCTTTTTTAAAAAGTATATGTTAGTAATATACTATAATGATTTTCTACGTTTATTATTGCTTTACCTTATTTCAATTGTAAAACAAAATATGCTAACAATGTTTTAATTAATTAATGCATGTTTTTTTATATAATCGAAAATGATTATTTTAGTGTATGCCAACAAAAATGTCCATGTCGATTTAACACGTAGGAGCAATGTGAGAATTTTAACGTACATTGAAAAATTAAATTAAAAACTTTATTCTTTATTAAGGCACGAAATGTTATCCCCTTTATGAAAAAGTAGACTTCCTTAAACATTGTTAAAATGTATAAGCAGTAATCAAATTGATGTCCAGGAAATGATGCAATTGAATATTTTACTATGGTGTTAGAGTTGTTTTAAAAATTAGATATTTAAATAACGATTCGGACATTGTTTAACACTACTGGGTCAGTTTAATCTTATGATTGTTTATTTCACTATTTGATTTTAAACAGACATTTGTTTTAAATATAATGATTTCATATTTATTTGTATTTCACACATTTTAATATTTAACTTATTTACCATGTTTATCATATCTATTTATATTCAATTATTAAAGTGATTTTTACATCTTGTAACGTCTGAGTAGGATTTATAAATGAATGTTTATGATAACAAGTTTTGTAAAGTTGTTTCTTGTTTATAAATACAGTATAGTTTTTTTAAGATTAGTCATATTCTTAACTGTTTTGAACAGAGTCTGAATGTACAAATTTGAATTAATCTATACAAAGGAATCCAGAACTAAAACAACAATACCATTTCATTTGCTTTGATAAGATTATTTTGTTCCCGAGCGCTTTCCTAAACAAATATCCTATAGTACTACATACAACAAACAAAATACAATGATTTTAGTGAATGTAGAAAACATACAAGATCCTTTGTTTTATCATCGCAAAAATATAGCGCATAAATAAAATTCCCGTAACTTACTATGTAACTTTATTTCTCTAATTCTTCGTCAATTTATCCCTTTCTGCAACCATTGTATAAAAATAATTTAATCAACGTGTGGTTCGTTTGATCTCAGTTCTTCATTGGTTAAAATCCGATTATGACGTCGAATTTTCTTGCTTTCCTCTGAATTTCCTATTGTGACGGCATGAAAAAAGGCGACCATGCCTGATGACGTCACATAGAACGAACACATCTTTTTGCAGATCATTCGAAAAGAAGGAATAAATTTGCCTGCGTATTGTTTGAAAATCATTAGAGAAACAGATTCCACCACCAAATCTCGTGTAATACGATATTTATCAACTCTCGACAGTTAAATTTTAAATATTTAAAACGCTCGGCGAGCCTCGCGTTTTAAATTTGAAAATTTAACTGTCTCGAGTGGATAAATATCGTATCACACTCGATGCAGTGGTAGAATCTATATTTATAAAACTTACCCTGGATAATGAGCATATCACTCAATTGAACGTTAAATAAGTAAGAAACAATCAATAAACAAATAAGGAACACTGTTTATAATGTACCTTGGAGTTATTATTCCTTATTAGGTTTACTAAATAAGATATCTTCTCAGTGGTCTAATGTTAACGTGGATATTTGATAAGCGGTTTAGTACAACTAAAATAATGTTCTTATATATTTTTTCTGAGATCATATCTGCCAACCAGTAAGTAATCAAAACGAAATATCTATGAATATTATATATCTCCCCAAACGAGGCGTAGTTTGTGAAACAGCTGTATTTACGAAGTGCAACCTACAGGTCACGAGACTGTATATTCATCTCTAGATTCGGTAATGTTTCAGCATCGCTGATTTGCTGCCTCATTAACATATGCCTCACATTTTGCTTTATTCTTATTGCTAAGTTCAAACTGTAAAAAATGCTGTTATTATAACAACATTAAAACTTTATTACGTCTCCAGACCCCGTACGTAGATGCAATCGAAGTGATTAAGTTATTTGAAGAACGATTATAAAGTTTGAAAAAAATATTAAATGATTTTCAAACGTAGATGAAATGGTTTATGAGTCTGCATGTGAGAAATATTTTTGATTAAAATTAGAATAATAAAAGTAAAGAAACATTTTTGATTGAAGTGTGAAAAGGAAAATTACATCAAAAGATTTGTATGTATCGTCAATAAATATATTTTGATATTTAAAATAAAAAATAATATGCATAATCTACATGAATTTACTTTCCTTTTTTAATGGGATTATAAGAATAATAAAATGCTTCGCTGAGCGCAGCCTGATACAACCGCACAGGTCAAACCCTGAACAGTTGGGGCAAATTTGGACACAATATTCAAGCTTGATACTGTCTGAATTTGGATTGTGATCAAATGTTTGACATAATATAGGTTTCTGACACAAAATGAATGTGGTCAAAGATCTTTCAAATCTATTGCGCAATACTGTGCAATGGAAGATTTCTTCTTGAAAATTTTCAAAATTTCGAAATATGAAAAATTTAAAAAAAATAAAAATGGATCCCCTAAAAAAATTTGAAAAAAATCTCTCCTCCCAACTTTTTGAAACCCTCCTTGGAGCAATAACCCCATTACTCAATCCAAGCCTTTCCTTTGTAGTATGGAACCTTGTAGTACACTTTCAGAGAGATCCATACACTTAAACACAAGTTATTGTCTGGAAACTAGAAAAATGCTTGTTTTTTGGCCCTTTTTGGCCCCTAATTCCAACATGTTTCGGGCAATTAACCCCAAACTCAATCCCAGACTTTCCTTTGGGATATGGAACCTTGTGTTACAATGTCAGAGAGATCCATACACTTACACACAAGTTATTGTCTGGAAACTAGAAAAATGCTTGTTTTTTGTCCCTTTTTGGCCCTTAATTCCTAAACTGTTGGCCCCATAACCTCCAAGATGAATCCCAACCTTCTACTTGTGGTATTAAACATTGTGGTACAAATTCAGAGCAATCGAAATACTTATACACAAGTTATTATCCTGAAACTAGAAAAATGCTTGTTTTAGGCCCCTTTTGGGCCCCTTATTCCTAAACGGTTGGGACCATCATCCCCAAAATCAATCCCAACCTTCCTTTTGTGGTATTGAACCTTCTTAAAAAATTTCATAGAGATGTATTCACTTAAACTAAAGTTATTGTCCGGAAACCAATGTGTCTTCGGACGACGACGAAGACGACACCATACCATTATACGATCCCAAAATTTTTTTTGCGGTCGTATAAAAACTACTGAGTATTGTTTTCTTGTAAACGTCAGGAGAAGCGATGTGAACATGCATCTTCTTACGTTTATTAGAATTAGCAGATTGTTTCCCGGTTACATCTTCTTTTAAAGTTAATGTCAGTGTCAGCTATATCCAATGTTGTTTGACAAATTAATCAGATCAAAACAACTATAACAAAAATAAAATATACTGCCGGTATAACATTAAGTATGATAATGAATTAAAGAAATATTTGGCCTATATAGAAATTTTACTTTTATTCTAGAAAACTTTTGAATCAAAATTAGTATTTTAAAAATGGTTTGCACTCAAAAGAAATATGACCATATATTACAATGAGTGCAAACCATTTCTTAAAATCTGATTAACTGTAGCCAATGTTAAGACTATATTTAAACCAGTGTAGTCTTTACTGATACTTGTTTCTGTAGATACATCACGATAACTTAGTTTTAGCATCAGCAAACTAAGGTAGTCTATAGTTATACTTGTTTCTGAAGATACACCACGATAACTTAGTTTTAGCTTCATTATACCCAGGTAGTCCTTAGTGATACTAACACTTAGTGGAAGTTGAGAAACGTCGTAATATATATATATATATAGATGACAATTACAACATGCAAACACATGACATCAATGAAGCAAGACAGATGATAACACATAAAGGAGGAAGTCAAACATAAATTTTACAATAACTTCAACAAAATCTGATCTCATATTCACATTACTAGTTATTTGCATCATATCGGCAATCGTTCAAAAATGATTCTTTTTTTTTAAAAATAATAAGAGTCGGCCGTCCGTGAACATTTTGAAGGATTGTTAAAAGAAAAATATGAAGTACCTAAAGATCCTAATACAGAATAATTTCGACAATCAATTTAGCGTTTAAACTTTTATGTATATAATTTTCATGATTTAATGCATGATAACATTAGATATATGAGTATAAATACATGTTTGGGTAGTTTGAATATACATCAAACCTTTAACGTTATTTATGAGACATGATTGATGATTTGCTGCATGCACATGATAATATATATGTTTAAAGTTTACCTTTGATTGATGAGCATTCAATACATAAACAAGATTACTAAATGAACGTAAGTTATATGTTTAAATGAAAAGAACACTGTTTATTTAGTGCGTCCGAAGCGATTTTCTGGATTGACGGTCATCATAAACGCTCAAATCCAAACAGTTGAAAGCTAACGATGTACAAACCCTACACACGTTATTAGTTATATGATCAAAAGGGACCTTCAAAATAGCCAAAATCATGTTAGGTCAACTTTGCCTTAGGGAGTTGAAACCCTCAGTTTCTTAATAATTTCTGAAGATAATCAAGGGAAAAGTTAAGAAAAGTTGCTATTAATCATGCCGGTACTCAAGACTGACTACTGAGTTGTTGATACCCTCGGGACTAATATTTCACCAGCAGAGATAATGACTCAGTGCTAGTAAATGAAAATTGTATTGGAAAAACGTATGTATATATATAAAATTGAGAATGGAAATGGGGAATGTGTCAAAGAGACAACAACCCGACCATAGAACAGACAACAACAGAAGGTCACCAACAGGTCTTCAATGCAGCGAGAAATTCCCGCACCCGGAGTCGTCCTTCAGCTGGCCCCTAAACAAATATATATACTAGTTCAGTGAAAATGAACGCCATACTAAACTCCAAATTGTACACAAGAAACTAAAATTAAAAATAATACAAGACTGACAAATGCTAGAGGCTCCTGACTTGGGACAGGCGCAAAAATGCGGCGGGGTTAAACATGTTTATGAGATCTCAACCCTCCCCCTATACCTCTAGCCAATGTAGAAAAGAAAACGCATAACAATACGCACATTAAAATTCAGTTCAAGAGAAGTCCGAGTCTGATGTCAGAAGATGTAACCAAAGAAAATAAACAAAATGACAATAATACATAAATAACAACAGACTACTAGCAGTTAACTGACATGCCAGCTCCAGACTTCAATTAAACTGATTGAAAGATTATGTCGTCATCATATGAATATCAGGCACAATCCTTCCCGTTAGGGGTTTAGTATCATACCATCATAACATATATGAGAAGAAATATATATATATATATATATACAAGTCTAAATTGAAAACAACGTTCAAACCTATGATTGCGTTGGATAAAAACCGCATTTTTTATACGTGTGCATATATATATATATATATATATATATATATATATATAAAGTACATAAAGAACCTTTATATAGAA